TTGCTAATTTTACTGTAACTGTTTCATTTAAATTTCTTACACACTAACTTCGTCCGTGCAACTGAAATAAATCGTGGTGTAAAACAGTCAGTCGTGGATGTCATCCATATTCAGACCCCTCTGTGTCAGAAGTGTTATTTTATGGCTTTGTTGAAATTCACACCCAAGTAGAGAACTTGTTCCTTCCTTTAACAGTTTCCCTTTCTCTCCCCTCTTCTCCCTTCCCTTTGGGATTCATTTGGTTTTTTGCTTGTTTATTTGCTATTTGTTATGTTTTGTTTTTTTCAGACAGGGTCTCACTATGTAGTTCAGACTGGCCTTGAACTCACTGTGTAGCCCAGGCTGGCCTCAAAGTCATGGCAATCCTCCTGCCTCAGCCTCCTAAATGCTGGGATTACTGGTGTGCTCCACCACGTCTGGCAGGTAGCCACACATTTTTAACACACAGCAAATACCTGCGCCCCTCTACTCCTTCTGTTCTGCCTGCTCTGTCTGTGACCAGGACCTGTAGTCGCAGAGGAGCAACCTGAGCTCAGGACCTGAGCCCACAGAGGATGCTGGGAAGAGAGATGGCAGCTCCCACAGGCACACACAGGCAGGCTGGCGGGGGGGTCCCTGCTTCGTCATCAGGCAGGGACGCCTGTGGTTGGAGTGGTGTTTGGTTCTTTGCTACATCTGCAGGGCCTGGTGCAGGGCCTATCACCTGCAGGAAGAAATCTTGGTCTTCCTGAGGACAGGAAGTGGGGCTTCTATGGGGGTCTTTGTGGCGCAGGCCTGAGGAGTCCTGGTGAACAGGATGTGTACCTGTAACAAGCACTCAGTGATGTTCTTTCCACTCCTCGTATGGCAGCATTTCTGAGTCACTCTTAGGGCTCCACCATGCGGCTCCTCAGTCTCAATCTGACTACCAGTGCGTGCCGGGTCACAGTCATCTCCTCCCTGGGAGCCAGCCAGCCTCGGTTACGGGAATCTCGTCCCCTCCCAGGCCTCTCTGCTGCTCCCTCCCCACCTCGAGCGCATTCTGGGGTTTTCCTGGGGTTCCAAGTCAGCTGGTGCAGACTCCATGCAAAGGACCGGGCCGCTCTAGTTTTCTAGGTCACTGAGCTTGCGACGTCCCTCGGAAGTCCGTCCCGTCACACGGGGGAGGACTGTGGATTTGCTCCTCCCCACACCAGCCTGCCCAGTCCTGTGCCCACAGCTCCTCCAGGCCTTCCTGGGGCCCCGACAGCAGAGCCGGCTGCTGTGAGTGACAGTGCTGACAGGGGCTTCTTGCCTGGCTGTTCTCTCGGCTTCTGATTTGGGGCTCAGGCCGGAGAGAACAGGGCCAGCCTTGGGGACCCCCACGCCATACTCCGGGTGTACCCCTTCCTGGGACAGACCTCAGTAGGAGGCTCTTAGCTCCCCAACTCTTGCTGCCATAGAGTGGGTCACGTCCCTGTGTGGGGGTACCCAGAGACAAGCTCAGGTACCCCTGCTCATTCCAGGGCCCTCTGGGCTCAGGGACTGGCTGGGCCTCAGGAACCTCTGTGGGGGTAGCAGAGGGTGTGACCAGGAGGAGGGCACCAGCTGGCAGTGCCCAGGGAGGCTGCTAGTGGGATGCTGTCTGTGGGCCCAAGCCGGGCCTAATGCAGGCTGCTCAGGCTTCGGAGGGCCCTGCCCTGGCTCTGGGCCCAGCATGGCTTCTGACAGCTCCACCAGGGCCGCAGTTTCCACACCTGTATGATGGGCACGGCTGTACTGCTGCAGGACTGCTGGGGCACGCTGTCTCTCTCATTTACCACTCAGACCTCGCAAGGACAAGTCGGAAGGGACCAGGACTGGGACACACTCAGGTGTCAGAGCCCTGGGGTCCTGCTCCCACCTGACACTGGCAACTATGAAGCAGAAGCAGGTCTGCTCCATCCAGCTGCCCCAGCCCCGCCCTTCCATGCCCTCCCCCTGCCTTCTGCAACCCATCCTGGCCCTCACTTGCAGGTCTCCCCTGACAGGCTCCTGTCTCCTGCCCACTGCCTCCTCCTCCTCCTGCAGGCCCTGCCCTCCCTCTGACTCCTCTGCTCTCCCCTCTTCCTCTGCCCTCCACCTCCCTCTGGGCTCCTCTACCCTCCACCCCTGCAGACTCCTCAGCTACTCCTACCCCTCCTCCTCCTGCCACCCCTGCCCTGGGGCTTCCTGCCACTGCCCAGGCCCGGGTCCCTGCCAGGGTCACCCGGACCTCTGGGAGCTTGGGAGTCAGGAGCCAGCGGCACATGATGAGCAGTCTGGCAGGTCCCCAGGTGCCCCAGGAAGCCCCTCCCACAGTCCTCAGCCGCCTGGGGGTGTGGCCTGGTCCCTGGTGAGTGGCCTCCTTGGATTGACCTGCAGGCCACAGAGAATGGCATGACTTCCTCTTCTGTCCCCTCTCCTGCTGGCCGCTCAGGGCTCCCAGGGCAGCCTGCAAGGCCTGGGCTCCGCAGCCTGGGGCCTCTGCCCTTGCAGCCCCTCCCCTCCTTCCAGCAGGAGCAGCAGCAGCCTGTGCCTGTCCCCTCCTGCTCCCCCAAACAGCTCCCCCACAGCAGCCTACTCCGGGAAGGGGCTCCCTTTGTTGGGCAGCCTGCCAGGTGAAGCCTGGCTGCATGGCGTTGGGGTGCAGCTGGTGCCTGGGTCCCGGCAGAGGCTGTCTGGGATCCTCCCTGCCCCTAAATTGTCTCTTGGCTGAGGTGTCCGGAACTGGAATTCATACTCTCACTCTCTCTCCCCTGCTGGCCTGGTGACACTCCCTGGGGACGGGCCAGGGGGCCAGGCTGAGGTGGAAGGATGCAGAGCCCCTCTGATCTGGCGGCAGTCTCAGAGGGCTGCAGCCCTGGAGTGTGGCCTGACAGGGGGGACCCCTCTGCACAGGGCCATGTCCCCCTAGGTCCCTGCAGGGTCCCTCCTGCCCTGTCTGGTAAGGAGTGGCACCTTCCTCCACTTTGGTCTCTGGGGCTCTCCCAACCCTGGGAAAGGCCATACCAGGCCCACGCCCTTGGGCTACAGACCCATGGGCCATCTGGTTACTCATCTAAATAATCATTAAACAGAGAAGACATGATCCCTTAGAGCTTGTAATTCAGAGAATCAAAAAGCACACAAATCCTCAACATGTTTAAACTATTTAAATATCACAAGTTTTTTTGTCCCGGTACTGGGAATCGAATTCAGGACCTTGCCCTTTCGAGGCAGGCATGGTCCAGCCCTTTTTGTTTTGTATTTTGAGACAGGGCCTTGATAGGTAGCCAGACTGGCTTTGAAATCACAGTGATCCTCCTGCCTCAGCCTCCTGAGTGCTGGGCAGGTGTGTGCCACCACGCCCAGCATAAATACCACAACTTTTGTAGGAAGATAGAGGCATAAACTGGTAACAGAGCCCCCTGGCTCAGGTTGGGGGTCAGGGAGGCGTCCCTGGGGATGTGACATTCAACCTGAGACCTGAAAGACGGGGGAGGCAGCTGCTTGTGACTCAGAGCCAGAGGGGACACTGCCCCCACATTTGTCCCTGAGCTTCCCCAGCCACGGTCAGGGACCTATGAGGAACGAGGGCCCTGTGTTCCCACGAGAAACGGCTGCCATGCAGAGGCAGCCAGGGACACACATGTGATCCAGGCTGCCGTCCTGGTGATGCTGCCCCAGTCCAGGGTCAGATGCTGCGCTCAGGCCCATTTCCGTGGCTCAACACAGCCCGAGCAGGAATGTGGACAAGGTCTCTGTCTGGTGCTGCTCCAAGATCCACGGCATTTGTGTCGGGGAGCCTGGATCGCTCCCATGGATGGTCAGTTTGCCGATGACTCAGAAGTGAATGAAGCTGGTCTGGAATCCCCAACCTGGAGTCTGAATTTTGTTGCTAAGAGTGAGTGCCAGGCAGGAGGTGGGTGGGGTGTAAGGACCTGTCCTGCTGCCAATGAGGCCCCGCTGCACAGGTGCCCTCTTTCTCTTTCCCTTCCTCTGGCCCTGGGCACTGGCCCAGGCAGGAGACAAAGTGAGCAAGAACTGGGTCTGGGTGGCTGCGTCTGCCCCAGGCCATTTGCACCCACTTTTGGGGCCCCAGATTGCAGGGTCCAGAGGGTGCTGTCAGCTGCGGGAGAACAGGCTATCTCTGGAGCCTGATGGGACACTGCGGCCCTGCGCCTGCTGGCCATGGCTTTGTGTGTGTCTCCCAAGCCTGAGGTCTGACCTCACTTTAGGCCTGATCCAGCCCAGGAGCTGCTGCCTGGGAAGGGATTGTGGCGCTGGCTGTCCGCCCTCCTCTGACCCAGTGCCCAGGCCCTGGGTGGCCTATTCACCTTGCACACTCCCCCCTCACCTGCACACACGGGCTCCTCCTTCCTCCCTTTGCACCGTGCGCTGCTCTGCACCTGGCTTCTCCCCTTCTCCCCCGGATAAACCCACATATTTGGGCTGGGGATTTAGCTCAGTGGTTTCGCTGCTTGCTTTGCAAGTATGAGGACCTGAGTTCAATTCCCGGTACCAACAAAGCAAAACAAAAAACCCACATATTCGGCCCCATTGCTGCTATAGATCTGTGGACACCTGTACCTGGGGTTGCAGGTTCCACCGGCTGCCTGCTCGTGGGTTCTCAAAGATTCTGTATGAGTCAGAGGAGCCTGTGGCCAGCGAATCGGGCAGCCCATGGGACCATCCCGGGGCAGCAGAGTGGACCAGCTCTGTGAGAACACCCCAGGCCACCTTCACCTTTTGATGATTTGGACACTGCCCTGGGAAACATCGGGGCTCCTTATGCCCTGCCTCCAACTTGCCCCACTCCTGAGGGCCCTCTCTTCTCTCTGTGACCCGTAGCTTCTCCCTCCTTCCCTGCGGCCAGCACCTCAGAGTCGACTGAGGCAGGACTGTGCCATGTCTACCCAGAGAGGAAGTTAGTGACCCCGCTCCTGGAGCTGCTGGAAAGGATCTCTGCCTCTCAGGGGCCCCCCAACCCTCCTGGGGATAAGGGTAAGTCCTGGGTTCTCCGAGGCTTGGCCCAGGTCCCAGAGCTATGGGGACAACGGAGAAGTCTGGGGGAGGTTGCTGGGAGTGCTCATTGTCAGCTGTTCAGGCCCATTGGTCGCCATCTTGAAAACTTGCCATCTTTTATTCTGGTACAGGGCATCAAATCCAGGGGTGGTCTACTACTGAGCTACGTCTCCAGCACTGCACCCCTTCCCTTAAATTTTGAGACAGAGCAGCTGTCTAAATTTCCCAGGCTGGTCTCAAACTTTCTACCCTCCTGCCTCAGCGTCCAGAGTAGCTAGAATTACAGGTGTGTGGCACTGTGTCTGGTAAAACTCTTAGTGGAGCCTTCCATGCTACCCTACCCTGCCACCTCCAGGGGAGCTGGCAGAGCCAAGCTGTAGTTGACTTTTCTGAAAGTGCTACATGGGGGCAATGTGGAAAGGCTCTGAAGGATGTGCCAGGCTTCTGGGGGTTGTTTACAAAGACTCCAACAAGACAGAGCTGGAATCAAGGTTTTCATGAACAAATTACTGTATGGAGAGCTTTTCTCCCATCTCAAATGGCATCCTTCAAACGCCCACAGGGAATGGACGAGAAGCACCAGGATGGGTGCTTGGTGCTCCGGAGAGCATCTCATATCTTCCAGAACTTTCCAAATGAGCACCTGGCGTCTTCATTTATTCTCTGAATGCACCCTCCTCAGCCCCAGCTGAGGTACCCTTTCCTGTCCTTCAAGTACAAAGCTGTTGGGAAACAGCAATATTCCTCAAAGCAATAAAATATTTGTTAAAGACATTTCACAGGAAAACAAGGTAAAAGACCAGGTTATGCACGGCTAGCTCAACTTTTTGTGGTCATCTCCTTACAGAAAGAGAACTTTGTACTTCTTACATAGTTTAGGAGTAACAGGCATTGTATGACCTTTAAAGAAAATTGATTCCGCACAAAGCTCACCCTACCAGCTTCAGTTCCTCAATCAGCAGTTGAGGAAGGTCCTTCCCCGCCAGCATCTTTTTATGTGACATTTGACAAAAATTCCAATTCTTAATATGAGAGTGAGTCTAACCAAATTTTAAAATCTTACTGAGTGAATTTTCTCTTTTATTTGGCAGTCCTGACTGCATCTATTTTCATAGTTGACAGAATTCAAGAAATTTGAATTAGTGTTTCTTCTTCTAAATGAGACAAAGGCTTTGTCACGTGGGGTCTTTTTGAATGAACTGGGGCAGGACACTTTTCAGTGGTGACATTTTTATCCAGACTCCACAAAAAACAAATACAGTAATTACATTTTATCATAGAATGCATTCTAATTTAATGTTTCCACCCCAAAAGCCCAATTTAAAATCAGGAACATCTTATGCAAGGAAACTAATTGTGTCTTAAAATTTGTTAATGCAGATATGACTAGGAATGCAAAAAGAAAACTAAGTAGGGAAATGACACTTGGCATAGGAAATCTGGCTCAAGTTGGACTGAAAGAGTCCTCACCAATCCCCTCTACGTATAAGCACAGGAAACAGCGTCATGAATATTAAGTTCTTTCTGCTTGGGTTCCAATCTAACAGCTTCATCAGCCTTTGGTGACCTGACTGATGACCAAATGAGATTCCAGTAATTCATTTCTGCACTATGACTGCCCTCCAGAGGTTTATCTCTGGGATCATCTCCGACTGAGAATCCTTACAGGCAGCTGACTTCCGAGGGATGAAATCCATGTGGTATCTGCTGCTCTCCTTGGTCACCATTGGCCAGCTCCTAAAGGTAGACTGTCTGCAGACCATGCTGCCACCCCTCAGTTTGGTTCCCGTGTCCCCCTCAAGATCCAGGACTGGCCATGGATCACCTTCAGGTCTCCCGAGTCTCCCTCTGGCTTGTCCGGACTCTCCCTTGGGCTCGAGTTGCTTGCAGTTCTTCTACCTCTCACCAACTCTTCAGTCTTCTGGACTCCAGTCTCTGCCAGCCATGTTAATGTTGCTCTTTTCCAGAGTTTGCTCCTTGATTGCTTTCCTACGCTACAAGTAATTTCCTACAGACCCACAAGCTCCCTCCATGCTTGGCAGGGACTGTCCTGATTTAACACTGCACGTCCTGCGTCTCCCTAGGAGTCCTCTCAGTCCTGGACTGACCTGAACAAATGGTCACCCTGGCTTCATCCCAGGTAGCAAATGGGGGCCACACGGAGGAGCCCTGACGCTGAGCCTTCCCGAGTGCAGGCTGGGAAGTGACCTCAAACCTGTGTGTGGTGGGATCCGGGCCGGGGCCCTGGATCTTGCTGACCACCTTGCTTCCAGAGGCTGGCTTTTCCCTGGCTTGTCGGGCCTTTGTCTACCTTTCCCTTGGTATCCAGAGCAGCAGGTTGGGGCTTTCAGCGTGGACTCACTGAAGAGGAAAGAAAGGATGGGAACTCAAGCGTCCAAGCAGGTTTGGTGCTAAACCTGAGAGGGACCTCCCTGTGTGAGCAGAACGAGGTGTCTCTCACAGGCGAAGAGGCTTTTTATAGCATTTCTGGGCGGGCTTTTGAGGGGGTGGGTCAGAGAAACGGCGGGCCTGTGGCTTGCTGATTCCTCTGCAACCTGCTGACGTGTCCTCTGTGCCCTAGGTAAAATGAAACCTACATTCCTCTAAGATGGTGGCTAGGCTCCTTCGAAGTGCTGGTGTCCCTGTCCGGGCTCTGTCACTCACCCTGGCCGCCTCACATTTGGCCTCTGGGGCTGTGTCCCCAAGGGTCAGGGAAAGCTGGGGTTTGGGTTGGGGCCAGAGAGTGGCCAGGAACCCATGACCCACTGACATAGAATTTGGGCCCTTTCCAGTAGTTTCTGTGAGAGGAGTGTGGGAAGTTGACCTTTGTACTCTGAGGATTTGTGATTCCAGAGCCCAGGCTGTCCTGGAAGTCACCTGGCTGTCACAGAGGAGGGAGGCAGTTGGCCTTTTGTGTGTTAGGGTGCAGGTGGAGAAACAGCCAGGGCATCGAGGGGCCCAGAAACAGTGAGCCTCTACACCAAGGCCGGCGGCCCGTGGTGCCAGCCCAGTTTGCCAGCACCAAAGCCGATAAGGTGGGCAGGGACAGTGGTCTGACCCCATGTCGGTACGGGCCGGAGGGACGAGAGGTGGCCAGGTGGAATGACCAAGCCTGACTCCGAACTTCGGGGGTTGCAGGAAGCTTTGAAGTGGCTCAGATGTAACCTCGGAAACCCAGCCCAGACTCTGGAGGCCAAGTTCTGGAGGGCAGGGCCTGGGACCTGCTCCCTTAAGGGACACAGTCCCTGGTCTCCACGTCCAGTGCCCCATGGTGGGGCTTCCCCTGGTCTCTGATATGCAAAGGGACCCCCATCTTTGTCTCCTGGGGAGGCCAGTTTCGGGGAGCAGGTGGATACTGCTACTTTGCTGGAGGGAGGGGGCTTCCAGGGGCACCTGGAGACCTGCCAGACTGCCCACCACGTGCCGTCCCCTGTGCCCAGCAGGCTCCTGACTCCCAAGCTCCCAGAGGTCTGGGTGGCCCTGGCAGGGACCCGGGCCTGGGCAATGGCAGGAAGCCCCAGGGCAGGGGTGGCAGGAGGAGGAGGGGTAGGAGTAGCTGAGGAGTCTGCAGGGGTGGAGGGCAGAGGAGCCCAGAGGGAGGTGGAGGGCAGAGGAAGAGGGGAGAGCAGAGGAGTCAGAGGGAGGGCAGGGCCTGCAGGAGGAGGAGGAGGCAGCGGGCAGGAGACAGGAGCCTGTCAGGGGAGACCTGCAAGTGAGGGCCAGGATGGGTTGCAGAAGGCAGGGGGAGGGCATAGAAGGGGGGGGGCTGGGGCAGCTGGATGGAGCAGACCTGCTTCTGCTTCATAGTTGCCAGTGTCAGGTGGGAGCAGGACCCCAGGGTTCTGACACCTGAGTGTGTCCCAGTCCTGGTCCCTTCCAACTTATCCTTGTGACTTCACAAAAAACTGAAGCCTTGGAGGTGCTGTTGGAGTCAGCAGAGTCTGGTCGGGAACTGGCTGTGCTTTGTGGCCCTGGGAGGCCAGGAGGGGACCTTAGGGGAGTGGGGGGAGAGTCTGGACCAGCACAATGGGGGGGGGGGTTCCGCAGCAGGAGGAGTGGCTGGCAGCCAGAGGGTCCCAATTCTCCTTGTCATTCACACCTCCTTCATCTGGAGCACTGGGGTAATCAAGAGGCCTCCAGGGCTTCATCTTATAAATATGCATATCCAGGTTCTTTTCGTTTGGAAGTATGGATCCAATTGCTCTTATGAACATTGAAAACTCTCCCTTCTGTAATAGCTCTGCCTCCATACCCCATTATTCCCATTATGCAACAGAATTTAATGTACTTTCACAGAATCTCTGCAATTTGGACATTATGTAATAGGGAAAGGAAGACTTCCGGTCACCTTAGGTTATAGATGATATCCATCCATTTCGGGAGCCATTTTCTACCTTCAAACGAAGCCATCTGTAGTCTTGCAACATCTTCTCATATTTCCTCTGGCCCAGGCCACCCCTACGCAGCAGCGATACCCAGAAGGTACAGGTTCCCGCCTCTGGGAAGACGTGGGTGTACTGTGGCAAGCGGGCTTCAAAGGGCAGGCACTCAGGAGGACACAGAGAAAGGGGTGTCCCCACCCCAAACCACCATGGTCCGGAATGGCTGTCTTTGTCTAGGTGGCCTGAGAGTTCAGAGGAAGGGTGGTCTGAGCTGGGCAGCGTGGAGGGTGCAGGCCAAGGGGCTCCACCTGTGCCTGGAGGGAGGAAGACGGGAGCTTCTTTCATTTTTAAAAAATGGACACGAAATAAATAATTGTACAAATCATGAGGTTCAATGTGAAGTTTCAATGCACAGGTCAAATCAGGAGGATGAGCACATCCACCGCTTCAAATACTGATTCTTCATGGTGAAACATTCAAAAATTCTCTCTTCTGGCTGTTTTGAGATATTCACTGAGGATAAGGATGTCGCTCAGTGGTAGAGTGCTTGCCTAGAGTATGCCAGGCCCTGGGTTCCACTCCCACCCCACCCCCAAAAAGAAATGAGTCCTTTTTTATTGATCCAGTCACCCTACTGTGCGGCCCAGCACCAGCACGCACTCCTCTTAGCTAACTGCAACTTTTAGACATTGACCAACCTTTCCCTGCCCCCCTCCCCCTCTCCCTCCCAGACCCAGGAACCTCATTTTAGATTCCACGAAGGGTGAGGTCCTGTGGTATTTGTCTCTCTGGGCATGGCTGTTCCACTTAACCGCCAGCTTCCACTTCCACCCATGTTGTCGCAGTGCTAGGACTTCGCTCTTCCTTAAGGTCAAGTGGGTTTCCACTGTGTGTGGGAACCACATTTTCTCATCCATGCATCCACTTCCATGACTTAGAACTGCAGATGTCTCTGTCATCGAATCTTGAGGCCTTTGGGTGCATTCGAAGTCCATGCTTCGCTTCTAATTTTAGTATATGTGCTGCCTAAGCAAGCACCATGCTTCGCTTCTAAGCCAGCACCTCAGGCAAGTTGTTGAGCCTTTCAATGACTGCATTTGTTTTCACACCTGTAAATGGGGGTGCTCATGGCCTTACCTCATTGGGTGGCATGGTGAGGATGCAGTGAGGAGGTGCAGGTGTGTGCTCAGCACCAGGCAACAGATGCAAGTCTACACTGCCATCCGAGCCGGGTCTGAAACCCACCTAGGAGCTGTGAGTGTGGTGCACATCCGGGCACATTACAGGAGTCCTCTGTGTCTCAGTTTCCTCGTGGAGGCCATTACAGTGTGCACCTCCCGGCTGGCGTGAAGGAGGAAGTGCTTTTATTTGGAAAGTCTTTGCCCACTAAGCCTTAGGATGCACCATGCAAGTCACAGAGAGTGTCCCCATACTCATTAATGACAAGCCCTTGAACAGTCAGGATGGCCAGGGTGGAGATGAAGACTGAGCTCTGTGTGGGAGTGGGGTGTGACCAGGAGGAGACTGATAACACTGGGGAGCAGAGCTGGGGGCTCTGGGGGCTCTATACCGGTGCAGAATCTTTAGCCTCCACTGCATGGTTAAAATAACCATCAAAATCCAATCAATGATTTCCAGGAAGGAAGGAAGTACCATAATTACCCTAAGTGTGGAGGCCCGAAGATGTCCTCCTTTGACAGTTACCGCAGTGATTCTGGGGAACAAAAGGACAGCTCATTCTGCCAGAATTAAGAGTTTCCCTGAAGCCAAAGGAAGATAAAAATGTAAATATGCAGGGGAAGACTGGCTGGGATGAAAGCACTAGCAATAACTAAGTAGAAATTTAGGGCAGGGATGTAGCTCAGCTGTAGACTGCTTGCCTAGCATATGCAAGGCTCTGGGTCCAGTTCCAAGCACCAAATTAAAAAAAAAAAAACATTAACAGCCCAAGTGCAAAAGAAAGAAAATAGTTGTCTTGGGCTGGGGATTTAGCTCAGTGGTTCCAGCGCCTGCCTCGAAAGCTCAAAGTCCCAAGTTTGATCCCTGGTATCAAAAAGAAAATAGTCGTCTTTAGGCAACAGGAAACCTAAAGAGAAAATATATCTTTCAAAAAGGCCCATCACCTGTTCACCTGTGCCTCCTGTCCCCAAGAAATTAACAGGAGTAACTTAGAAGCTGTGACCTCAAATACTGTCAAGAAGGGGACAGAGATGGCTTGGACAAAAAGCCACAGGGAGGCCAGGGGTAGAACTCAGAGGAGAAGAAGCCCCCGGGGCCCAGGTAGGAGGAGAGCCAGGGGCTGAGGACAGGCAGGAAGCTCAAAGAGTGCTCGGCCCAGGACCCTGTCCTCACGAGAGCCAGGCCACAAGGGGCCCTGGAGAACCTGGCTGGGGCAAACTCAGCTGTGTCGAAAGAGTCCAGAGGCTCCGTTCAGGGGGCACGGGGAGCCCCGGGACACAGTGGGCTTCCCCGATTCTGTTAACATGGAACACAGAATTCTTCCCTACCCTGAGTTCAGCAGCAGGGCAGCTTGGATGTTCGTCTTTTCCAGAATCTTCACGGGGAAAGGTCCCCTGCCCCATGCTGTGGACTTCCGGTGCTGGCAGAGCCACAGCTTGGAGAGCCAACTCCTGTGCAATCGAGGGACTGCTGGCGCCATGGGGACCTTGCACAGCCACAGGCTGACGGCTGCAGGCAGGAGCGCCAGGCTCTGAGTGATCAGGGTAGGTCAGGACAGGAACAGGAGGCGAGCCCACACATAGAAGGCTCAGCACCAAGGACTTCCTCCTTTGGCCTGATAGTTGCATCTCCAGGGAGCAACGGAGGGGAGTGGCGGCTTCTAGAAGGCTGCAGGCCCCTGGGTGTTTTACTCCTCCCTGCCTTGGCATTCAGCGTCTTGGATTGTGGTGCATGCCAGCACCTGTGAGACCTCCTCCAAGGAGGCTGGGCATCTTTGATCCCTGCCGGTGACAATCAGGGTCCAGATGCCTTGTGGACAATCAGGGCACAGGACAGGGGCTCGGGACTTGCCAAGGGGCCATTCAGGCTCAATGCCAGGCTGGGGCCTGAGGAAGCCCGTGTGGCAGATCCTGCAGGTTTGGAGCAGAGGGTGAGACAAGCAGCTACCATGGGACATAAGTCTGCTTGAGCCATCGTCCTTTCCTTCCTCAGTTTCCCCTGCCCTCCTCTCTCCTCTCTTAGCTGACACCTGTTATGAGTGTTGCTCTTTTCCTGGGGTCTCTCTACTGCAGAGGCCATATCGATGACGAATGAGGTCTCAGGATTCCAAGGGCAGGTACTCGGTGGGTGCTCTGAGCCCCCTCGTCCTGCTGACGACTCCGTGTTTCTGTGGCAGATGCTGCATTTGCCGTGACCACTGCCATCTTCAGAGTAGGTGACCAACCAGCATTTGTTAATGGACGAACTTGTGACCCCAATTTCTAGATGAGGAAGTGGGCTTAGAGAGTCAGAGAAGCAGAGACTCTCCAAGGGCAAGGCCACTGCGGGCCTGCTGGGCTGTCCCCGGGACCAGGTTCCCTCAGCTGACCCAGGACCCCTTTGCTCAGACACCCTGTCACCCCCTTCCTGTCCCGATCCCTTCCTGTTGTGGCTGTTGTCCTCACCTCAACCTGCCCCCTGCTCCCCGCATGGACCTACCCAGTGCTGTCCCTGAGCTGCCCCACCCCACTGTGATGGATTCTGAGTCACACAAGACCAGTGATTTCTCTCGTGGGACAGCTTTCTGCATGACATCCCTGCACAGTGTGTGTGTGCTCCTGGGGATGCTGGAGGGGTCCCTGCCCCTGAGCCTCCACTCACCGTTCCCTGGCTTGTCCCCTGCAGGGACAGGCGGGCAGGTTTCCCCTCTGGAGGGGCTGCACAGCTGGAGGCCCCATGGAGCTGGCGTCAGGAGAGGATGTGGTGAGTCCCCAGGTGTCGAGGAGCCCTCTTTGGCGAGCTCAGTCAGAAGGGCTTGGTCCCCGCCCTCTTGAAAGAGCTGGTTCCTAAGCATCCAGGCTGCCGGTTGGTGACACTGGAGGTATGTGCTCTTGTCCTCTGCTAGGGTCCCCATCTGGAAGGCAGCAGGAGCCTGCCTGGGCTCCCAAAGCCTCTAGTTTGTCCTAGATGGTGATGGGATGGGCAGGAGCCGGTGGCAGTTCCGGGAGGCCAAGGGGAATTTTCTGAGAAGTCTCTTCTATCTGACTGTCCGGTGTTTTGGTGGGGATGGCTGGGAGGGGCTGGATGGAGAGTGTCAAGCTGTGGGGTGAGTGCCCGGGCAGGTCCCTGCCTGGCCACCCTGGAGGCCTCAGGTCTTTGAGACTCCCTGGACCACGGGAAGGAGCTGCATTTAGGGCAGCTGGCCAGACAGTGCACCAAGCCTCTCAGCGCTGGGTGGGTAAAGCCTTCGAGGAGCGGGGCTGAGCTGTGACACTGCTTTCTGCAGGGGGCAGGGGTCCCCACCTGTCCAGGGCCCTGTCTTGATGTCCAGGCTTGAGCGTCACGTCCTGGTGCAAGGAGCAGGCTTGGAGGCACCCACGGGACCAGTTCCCTGTGACCAGAATCCGTGGCAGTGAGGCAGAATAGCTGTCATGGTCTTGTCAACCTCTTCCCCGAACAATGGGAGCCAGCGCTCTGGAGGGCCAGGCAGCTCCCGGCCGTCACCCTCGGGCTGCTCCTCATGCAGGGAGGACCCACGCAGATGCATCAGCCAGGCCCACCTCAGGTAGTTTCTATTTCTGTAGACACTTGAAAGTCACAACACACGTGCCTCATAAAAAACAGCCCATGCCAGGGTCCTCCGCGGGGCCCCCAAGAGCCTCCTGGGCCTGGCCACTGCCCCTGCCAGGCTGAGTCAGCCCAGACTGTCCTCGCTGCCTAGGATCTGTGAGGGTCCCTGCCGAGAGCCACCAGAGCTCTCCGCCCTGGAGATGGGAGACCCCGGGGCTATCTCTGCTGACCATCTACATAGACCTCTGCAGGGCCCACAAATCCCCGGCTGGCTTCTGGGACTTCCCAGCACCCCCTCCTTTCTGTTCCCCATCTCAAACTGCTGAAGTGCTAGGCCTCATGTTGGCCTTTCTCAGATGCTTGCTGTCCCTGAGGGATGCTGCTGTCTCCCTTCTCTTCCAAAGACTTCCAAGGCCTTCACACACAAACACACATACACTTGTGAGCCCGCAGACTTGAGCAGTTTTTGGTTTTTGGCTGGGCAGGTGTGCAACCCTTCCAAGAGACTGCAGAGTGCAGGTCTTCTTGCTGGAAGTGTGCTCCCCACGCCCCACAGTGGGGTCCACCCAGATGGCAGGGACCCCGCTGAGCTCCTCTCTACCCCCAGAAACAGTACCCTCAGCCACACAGGCTGCCGCAGAGCCATTTAGGAGCCTCCGGCCCCACCCCCTCAGTTTACCCGAGGAAGTTCAGTCCCACAGAGGGGAAGTGGCTCTGCCCGACCAGGCAGGTGGCCAGGCCTGGAGGAGAAGTGACATGGCCCAGCTCACTCAGCTGCACTGGATAGTCCACAGGTAATAGCCTAGAGGCCATTTAGGGAAACTGAGGCACGGAGCCTCTGATCTGACCTTGCTCTTGTTAGATAGACACTGGGAGACCTTCCTGAGGTCAGTGGGGCTTTGTGGGGCTCTGTGCCACCTGGCCCGGTTCAGTGGGCTGCTCCCCAGGACGGGACAGTGGCAGTCCCCACCCGCGCTTTGTGACAGCAGACTTGGTTTGTCCCCAATCATGGGTGACATTTTTCTACGAACCCTCAACTTTCTCTTGGTCTGAGTCAGGGTTTCAGCAGGAGTTCAGTAGGGGAGCTCTGGCGGGCAGCCCTGGAACTGTCCCTTGGGGCTGGCTTTTGTGCCAGCACCTTCCCCAGCCCTGCCCCTCCCTCAGCATCTCTTGGGAAATCACCAAGCACCCTCAGGGATCGTCCTGCGGCCCTTGAGCAAGATGCCGGTGGTGTCTCGGGGATGTGTGTGGGAGTCAGGCCCAGCCACTCACCAGCTGTCACTTCCCTAGCCTCAGTTTACCTCTGTGGGGAATGGAATGGTATTGGTTCCTCACAAGGCTCTTGAATTCAGTAAACAAGGGGGCTACTTGTCCCCTGGTGAGCACCTGACCAGCTGTGCTTGCTGTCATCTAGTGATTGCACTTTTTTGTTTTGTTTTTTGAGACAGGGTCTCACCGTATAGTTCAGGCTGTTCTTGAACTCACTGTGTAGCCCAGGCTGGCCTCCAACTCATGGCAATCCTCCTGCCTCAGCCTCCAGAGTGCTTGATTACAGGGGTGGGACACCATGCCTGGCCTAATGATTGCTCTTGAGCCCTAGCACAAGGTGTCTTGGAGATGCTGGGAGGGAAGATGGAGCAGGAGTTAGAACTCGGAAAATTCCAGATTTGTCCTGGACAGTGAGGACACAGTTCAGGAAGCATGTGCTGGGCTGTGCTGGGCTGGGCTTTGTGGGAGTTTTCTCCATGGAGGGAAGATACATGTAAGCGGAAAGAGGAGCGGGTGGTGGGGCCAGGCAGGCCCAGGAGTGAGGAGGACACAGAGCCTTGGGCGCACGGATGCTTTGCCGGTGCTGCTGTAGGAGCTGGGGGCGCTGGCGGAGGACTCAGGACGTGAGTCTCAGCTGGTCCTTCTCCGCCTGTCGGACCTTGGGGAGTCTCTTCAGCATCCCCATCTGTAAAATGGGTGCAACGATAACACCCCAGGAGTGTGCCCTTCCCCTCCACGGCGCACTTAGCATGGAGCCAGTCACGCGTCCAGTCCCCGAGATGCCCTTCACCCTCCCTACGCAACTCCAAACCTGCCATTCTCCCACAGAGGCAGCATCAGGAGCCTCTGTCCCTGTGCTCCATGTCCGTTGAGCCTTGTGCCTCCTTGCGTCGTGGCCCGGATGCCCAGTTTAGGCGCAGACCGATGGGTTATGCCCACAGCCGTGGCAGGTAACTGCAGCCCAGTGGGCATCTGCACCCAGCTTCAGCTTCCCGCACTGCAGCCCCAAGGACAGAGGGAAGAAGACTGGATGGGGCGGCTCCCGCCTGGGGCAGGTTCCAGGCCCCCCAACTGCACACCTGCTTTGCTCTCCCATGGTGGGGCACGACTGTCTCTGAGTGGGTGCCCTGCACAGATGGGGTTCTGCATCCGAGCTGTGCTCTCCTGTGGTCCGGCTTCTCTGGAAAACCCAGGCCCAGGGAAGGGGGTGGAAGGAAGGCTGGGCTGGTGCTGAGCCACACAGCTGGGTTTCGGGGCCTCAGCTGTGCATGAGCAACCCGGCAGCTGTGCCAGATGGGGTCTGCCCAGGTTGGGATGCTCAGGGTACCTGGAGGCACAGGTGCCACAGTGCCTGGAGACTGCACCATCCAGAAGATGGCAGCAGGATTGGCAGCAAGAGCCAGCGTGGCAAGGCCAGCACCAGGTGCCCAGGACACTGCAGATGGGACCCCAGGGACCATGTGAGAGAGCCTGCAAGATAACAAAGCCTTGGAGTCCAGTTCCTTCCATTCACGGGACAGTTCTCTCCTCTTCATGAAAAAGAGCGAAGCAGTGATACTTTGGAAGAAGATTCCATTTCAGGGTTAAAAACAAACTAACAAAAGCCCCCTCCAGGAAGATCCTGCTTCCTATGTGAATTCCCTCTACAACATTCTGGACAAACAGGTCTCCATCATTGCTTGTATACGTCTGGTGACAGGGAGCTCACTACATAGCAAGGCCGCGTTGTCTGATAGAGACATAGGTCTGCTCACGGCAGGACATGGACCATGTGTGTTTCCCTCTGTGGATCATGAGTGCCCCTTGTGTTTTCTGCCTCTTCCTGTGTTGTGGTCCCCGCCAGCTTCTGCACATGCAGTCCCTGCAGCCAGCAGGCCTCAGGGTCAGAGAGATCAGAGCCACACAAGCACTTCTGCCTCTCTGCTAAATTCTCTCAGGGTAGCCTAGGTTCCCCTCATTTCTCACTTTCCTGTTTACAGGAAGCACACACACACAAACACACAAACACACACACACAGAAATTCCTATTTTCATTTCAGCTGTGGCTGCATCTGTATTTTGTGCGTAAATATTTGTTCCTTCCCAATATTTCAGCAATTCCCTTCTGATTTTATCTCTGACTCATACGTTATTTAAGAGGCTGTGGGAGAGATTGCCTAGAAATGTCTGCTATATGTTAGTAATATCAAGAAGCTGCAGCAGAGCGGTTAGGACTGATAAATAGCTGTTTTCTCTGTGGTCTGAGAATGTGGAGTAGAAAATGGCCTTTGCCTTTAACGACTTTGGGCCGGCCCAGAAATGGGATCAGTTTTGTGAAAGACTTTCTATCCTCCTGCAGAGCATGTTCCCTTGATGAATGATTTCACCGTCCACCCCATCTGCTTGTTCTCTTTATTAATTGGACCATCCAGGTGTCTAATTTCTCTCTTTGATCGACAATATGTTAAGAGAGCCGCACTAAGGTTTCTAACTACAATTATTTTTCCACTTCCGCTCACTTCTTTTTGCATTTCTGGCCTGTTACCACCATGTTCAGCTCTGCTGTGCTCATTGGAACATAAATTGCAAGTTCCTATTTTCCTTAACTTTTACAATGGTAGCATCTCTGTAATCATCTCACTTTTCACTACAAAAACCTATATTGTCTTGGGCTGGGGATTTAGCTCAGTGGTTCCACTGCCTGCCTCGCAAGCTCAAGGTCCCGAGTTTGATCCCCACTACCAAAAAAACCCCCTGATATTGTCATATTCCCTTCTTTTCTAGCATAGCATACGCCTGATAAATCATAGATTATTCATCATTTTGCTGTGCTGTTTCATTTTCTCTGTCTTTCTTACTGACAAAAGATGCTTGGATATTTTTAAATGGATGCTCCTTTTATAGGCTCTATTAATATTAAATTTAAAAATAATATGTATATAGACCTCTATGGAGTTGCTCCTCTTTCTATATTGAGATGTTGCAATTTTCACTTTCAGTTTCTATTGTAAATTTTCTCTTCTTTTTGTCCCTTTAAGGTAGGGAAGAGAATTTAACCTAAATATCCAATTTTAAAAATGTTAGTTTCAACTTCTGCATTTATTTATTTCTACTAATAGTTCACTGAGCTTTGGAACAATTATAGTTTACATACTTTATTTTTGCCTCCTCTTCACTGTCAGCCTGGCATTTGGTATCTTTTATTTTGTTTTTTATCCATGAAGGCTGACCTTTTAAAAGTTCCTTTTAGGGCCGGGGGTTTAGCTCAGTGGTTTTGCCTCCTGCTGCGCAAGTGCAAGGACCGGAGTTCGATCCCCGGTACCAAAAAAATTAAAAAAATTTAAAAAATTAAAGTTGCGTTTAAGAATCACAGGTGGGGTTCATGCTGCTGCATTCTCGTCTCCTAGCGGGATCTGCTTTCTGTCTTGATGCTTCTAATTCTCTCTGCTCCTTTATGCTTTGCTCCCAAATTCCTCAGCCAGTACGTCTTAAAGGGTTCACTTCTGACCTGGCAGGATTATGTCTCAGCAGCTGGGCTCTGGTTAGCCCAACACATTTCTTTTAATTTTGTGGAAACCTCACACTTCGCCTCAAACCCATACATGACTACGCTTTGTTTCTTTAATATTTAAGGGAAAATCTAAAACGATTCTTATTATTTTCTCCCTGTGTTTGATATATCTTTAAAGAATCTTAAGTTGCTTTTGTATTTCGTGTGTCTGATGATTTAATTAGAAAAATACATAA